TGTTATTTATTAATATTATTGTTGATTATTTTTATATAATACAAATATCTTTATAAAAAAAATGATTTATTACTTAATAAAATATTTTCAATTAAACAGAAAACTTAGTTTTATTTTGTCGGTAAAAAATTTGAATTATTTTTTATATTGAATTGTATGTTATATTGTGTGACAAAACTATTATTTATATTAATTTACTGTATTTTATTAATATTTAATCTATTTTTTCTATTTATATATAATATTTCTATATGTATTTAACTTATAAAACATTTATTAATAAATACATTTTTTTAGTTAGTTAGAGGTAATTATTAGATAATTTAATAATAAATTATTGCATTAATCAATAATTATGTCTAAATCTAATGGATTAGTAATACTTATTACAGTAAATACATTCAATATACTTGTAATCCCTACTTTCGTTATTATATAAATAATAATAATAATCAAAATAATAATACATCATCAACTTTATATAAATGTATCAGGCTAATAATAAACATACTATGTTTATTAACAATAGTAAATAGTATTATGCTATTTGATAAAGATACTGGATACTTTATTTAATAATATTAAACTACTAAAAATACTGGACATAAATATAAATTTCTACAACTATTGCATACCTGCGCTCATATGACATATATTATACAAACCATGACTGCATTGTTGACCCTATTATTGAATGGCCGACAAATTGTCGACCTATTGATCAGTGAACGCAATCATCAATATGTTAGCGATAGACGCGAAACACGTACCGGTATTTCAGTAGCAGTTATAACGGCTATGCTATGCATAATACCGGTACTGATTAAACTGTTGAGTCTGAAACTATATGGCCATCAGCTGACACTAACTGAATACATGTTATATATATTGTATTTACCTGTGCTGTCAACGATAAACTACTGGTATCGACACTGATTGTCTATAAATCCACAATAACTGGCCAACAATTACATCTAGACAAATTGATCAAGCTAAATAATTTTATCATGCTAACATTGTTGACAATTCGATAGATATTTAATTTAACTAATTTATTTAATCATAATAAAATAGTTAATACATTACTTGCATTTATAATAATGTCAAGTAATATATGTTTTAAAATATTTAATTTTTTCCCAATCAATAGACAATTGTTTTTAAAATGTTTATCATTGATACTATTATATGTTGTAATACTCATACAAACTAACATTTAAGTTAAATTAATTATTTTTTTTGTCATTGATAAATTGTTCTAAATTTTTAATTATATTTATGCTAATAAAATAATTATTGTATTTTTTAAAAATTTTTATTTATAATATTTATATATTTTTAAAAATAATTTTGATTTGTCAAACATTTTAATTTATTAAAAATTATTTTAAATATATTTATTGTAGATTAAGTTTTGTTAATATTTTTTTAACTTTTAATATTGATCATGTTTTATACTTAATATATTATTATTATTAATAATTATATACATGTTTATTATTGTTAATCTGAAATAATAATAATAATAATAATAATAATACAATACAAATAAATTATTATAAATTTATTTAGATAACAAATGATTTTATTATTAATATTTAGATATACAGTATATAATCATTTATATTTACATAAACCGTATTTAATTAATAATAATAATAATATCCGAGATTTATACATTATTTTTATATTATATACAAATTTAATAGAAATATAAACTAATGTAATATATTTATTAATCGGAGCAGGTATTCTTTGCGCGTAAAATAAAAGTGTTTAAATTCATTTTATTGAAAAAGTTAATGAAATTTAATAAATTGTAAAATTGTCATTTAAATCTATAACATCTCTTTAATAACTGACCAAATTTTGATTATTTTCGGTAAACCATTTCATCTGATTTTGAACCGAAAAAGACTTTTTGACTCCTTCCAGATTTTCAATTTTTTCACTATCAAAGAAGTGTTTTATTTATTCAAATAAAATATAATCTGACAATGCAATATATGGTGAATATAATGATTCATCAATGGTTTTAATAAATCCTATAAATTTATTATAATTTAATTGTATAAAAATTTTTGGTATAATTTCACTTAAGTAGCCTATAGTTAAGAAGTGAAATTATTTAGTACTTAAATTAATAGCACATATCTTCAGCGAATTATGTCCAAATGTCTTATAATAGTTCATAAATCAATACCCAATATCTCTCTCATCTTTTATCATAAAAAGTCTGGAAATAACTTCACTAAATCCTTCAAAATTTTAGTATCAAACTTAGGTAGTTTTTCAGACTATTTTCTGTCTTTTACATTAACCTCTACTTCTTTCCATCATTTTTTATGTGTAAAATTAATGCTTACATTTAGTCTTCCATAAGAAGCCTTACTAATATTTTTGGCCTCCATTATTGCATTAATTAAGCAACGATATAGGTATTTTTGAGCATATGTGAAAATGGTGTCATGTGACATTAAGCTATGTAACGGCTTTATTAATAAATTTATTTTAAATGTTTAATAACATAGTTAAAATACAATAATGTATGTACTGAATTTCAAAAAAATTAAAATTTTAATTACTACATAGAACTCACAAAAACAAAGTAAAATTTCATAATTTTTGAAACGCAAAGAATACATGTTTCAATCGATAATTAATATTTTAATAAAACATAATTATAGTTTTTTTTCTAAAGCTTGTTAAAAATCAACAATACTGTAGTTTAATAAAATTATTTATAATTTTTTTAAAAAAAAAATAATGTATAAATCTCGGATATTATTATTATTATTAATTAAATACATTCAATACACTGGTAATCCATATTACTACTACTACTACTACTTTATATATATAATATTATTGATTAAATATTATATTTTAAACTAATATTTTTTTAAAATAACTAATATTTTGTTTATAATATCACTTATATTTTTTTATCAAAATGTTTTTTATATTGATAAATATTATCCCATACTCCACCCCATTATACCCACCCCTATACCCCCCGTCCTCTTAATTCAAATATTTATTGCTTAACTTTAATATATAATATTTGAATTATGATATCGTTTAACGATTTTCCAACTGTTTATTGACGCAATTATTATAGTTTTCAATTACGTATAGAATTAAGATTTTGTAATTTTTTTTTTGTTTTACTGTATTATATTTTTACTTAAATTTTAATTTACAACAACAACAACAATAAAATTATAATTTTTTTTAAAGTAATTGCGTCAATAAACAGATGGATACAAAATAAAAAATAATTTATATAAATATCCGATTTATATATATATACTGTTAGAACTGATTGTCAATTATTAATGTTATTTAAAAAAAACAATATCACAATTAAAAAATTCAATTTCAATTTCTAGTAATATCTTTGAAATAAAAATTAATAAATAAATTTAAAAAAAAAAATGAATCGCTTTATAGTATTGTTTGCAATGGCCGTCATTATCATTGCAATACGTAAGCATAAAAAAAATTATATTATAGATTATGTTTATAATATTTTTATTTTAATTATATTTATTTATTTATTTTTTTAAATTAGTATCAAGTAAAGTTAAAGCTTACTATTCACCTTCACAAATGGAAGCCATGGATGATCCTAATTTTGGACATGGAGAAACTGTACGAGGATATCATGGATCTGATTATACATAGAAATTATAGAAATTATACATGCTACAATATATAGTTTTTTCTTAAATATTTTATTATTATATAAAAAATTTTAAATAAATTATTTTGTTACAATTATTATTATTATTACTATTTTTAAAATAAAATTATATATTAAATTATAGATTATCGATTTTTTAATATAAATTATACTTAAAACTTATACTAGTATTACTGAATTTTCATTTTTTTTTAAATTTTATATAAAACAATTAATTTAATACAGTATAACTAATGTAAGCTCTCTCTCTCTCTCTCTCTCTCTCTCTCTCTCTCTCTCTCTCTGTCTCTCTCTATGTCTCTCTCTCTCTCTCTATGTCTCTCTCTATGTCTCTCTCTCTCTCTCTCTCTATGTCTCTCTCTCTCTCTCTCTATGTCTCTCTCTCTCTATATATCTCTCTCTCTCTCTTTCTTTCTGTAATATAACTGTAAATACAATATAGACTGTATTGTGTCCGCCAACTAATACAAGGGTCGACCATAGGATGATAGCTATCAATGGAAACTGTTGTCGTTGTTGTTGTTTTGAGGAAACGGTAGTATTGTTATGAACTGTGGACAGTATTGTAGTTATTATATAAGCAACTTATAGACTTACATAATATACAGTATATGTAATATAAAAGATTTTAATTTTTTTTTTAAATATTTTTCAATATAAATGACTAATTATATATTATTGATTAATTATGATATTTTAAATTAATATTTTTTAAATAACTAATATTTTGTTTATAATATCACATAAAACTTTTTAATCAAAATGTTTTTTATTTTTATAAATATTATCCCATACCCCATCCCACCCCCCATATTGTCCCACCCCTATACCCCCCGTCCTCTAAATTCCGATATATTGCMTAAACTTTAATTCAATATGAATTAAGATATYGTTTAACAGTTTTTCATCTGTTTATTGACGCAATTGTAGTTTTGAATTACGTATAGATTTATGATTTTGTAATTTTTGTTTTAATCAAATAAAAACTTATTATTATTATTATTCTATATGTTATTATTATTTGGAATATTATAATCATTATTATAGTTAACTTTATAATTATTAAATTTAAAAAAATAGTAAAAATTTAGTTTTTCAGTATTAAAATTTACTAATAAGTTTTAAGATAATATGAAAAAAACTTATAAAAAAATTTAATTAAATTTACTTTAAATTTTTATTTACAACAACAACAACAAAACTATAAATTTTTTAAGTAATTGCGTCAATAAACAGATGGATACAAAATAAAATAATTTATATAAATATCCGATTTATATATACTATTAGAACTGATTGTCAATTATTAATGTTATTTAAAAAAAACAATATCAAAATTAAAAAATCATACTTTCTATTCATATCTTAAAAAAAACTAAAAAATAAAATGAATCGCTTTATAGTATTGTTTGCAATGGCCGTCATTAGCGTTGCCATATGTAAGCAAAATAAATAAATAAATACATTTTGTCAGCAAAAATAAAAATTATATTATAGATTATGTAAAATTAATAATATTTTAATTTTAATTATAATTATTTATGTTTTTATTTTAAAAAATAGTATCAAGTAAAGTTAAGGCTTACTATACTCCGGAACAACAAAAGGCAATGGATGAAGAATAATAAAATCTTAATAATAAGTAAGTAATAAAAAAACAATTATATTATAGATTGTGTTTATTATATTTTAATTATATTTATTTATTTTTTTTAAAAATAGTACAGTATAGTAATAAGTAAAGTTAAAGTTATACTATACACCTCAACAAATGCATGATATGGATGATCCTAACCTTAGTTAAACTGAATATAATTTATAACTATCTATAATAAGAAATTATATATGCTAGAATTTATAATTTAAAAAAAATATTTTATTATATAAAAAATTTTAATTATTATTTTTATTATTAAAATAAAATTATATATTAAATAAAATCATCCGTTTTTTAAATATAAATTATTTCAAGTTGTTATAATATTATTACTGATTTTTTATTTTTTGATATTTTATTTAAAACAATTAATATATTCATATATAATTAGGGTTAGATTAGATTCCCTCCCACGTCTTATATTCCATAAGTTCCTTATATTCCTTATTCCCTGGGAATTCCCAGGGAAGGCTTTTCTGGGAATCTGTATATCTATCTGTAGGTCTATATGTATGTCGTATATCCGTTGCCACTATTTGCCGTAGCCAACAACATAATCTGTATGTCTATTTGAATGTCTATTAGTGTATCTAAGGCCACTACTATCCGTCGCCGACAACAAATGTTTTCGAAAATACGTTAATAATTCTAAATTTAGAAAACTATATTAAAAAGAATTAAATATAATTTTTATGACATTTCTTTAAAATAAACAATTTATATAATGTTTTTTGTTTTCATTTTTATTATTTTTTTTATTAATTATTACATTTTAAAAATAATTTCAGGCATTATCACTCAACTAAGGCATTATCACTGAATTTATTGTGTATAAGTATATTAATCAATTTCAATTTATTATATGGTTGTCACTTCAATAATCTCATCAATGTCTTATAATTATAAATAATTAACATTGTGTAATAATGATAGATAATGTTTGTGATAATACCACAGTTTTATATATGCTTTTAAGTTATGTTCAAATTATTGCCACTCACATATAACAATACAATTTTTAAAAAGTCATTGAGATTAGGTCCTTTTTTATTTATGACAAATTATATTTTCCCTTTATCACGATCAAGAGAGGTAATATAATATATTTTCCATATATTCCTGGAAAATTGGAGGGATTTTATTTGGGAACTCCCTTCCTTGGGATTCCCAATTTAACCCTATATATAATATAATATAACTAATGTAAGCTCTCTCTCTCTCTCTGTCTCTCTGTCTCTCTGTCTCTCTGTCTCTCTGTCTCTCTGTCTCTCTGTCTCTTTGTCTCTTTGTCTCTCTGTCTCTCTGTCTCTCTGTCTCTCTATGGGGCCTAGGTGGCCGAAAGGCTAAGTTGTCGGCTTTCGAGTACGATAACCCGAGATCGATACCCGTTTGGGCCACCTAAGTATGTTGGGATTTTTAACGCGAGGAAACAGATAATATGTGTACGAAGAACTGTCCGCATATATAATGCTGTCCTATCGTTAATAGGGGTACTCCTCTAACTACTGCACTCTCGGCGGTTATGAGTGCTATACACAGTATAACCAACAATACTAGAGAGAAACATAGTTTAAGGGTTCTCAAAACCCCGTGCATGCAATCATTGTAAAAACGGGGGATATAAATCCTGGATATTGTCTCTGTCTCTCTGTCTCTCTCTGTCTCTCTCTGTCTCTCTCTGTCTCTCTCTGTCTCTCTCTCTCTCTCTCTCTCTCTCTCTCTCTCTCTCTCTCTCTCTCTGTCTCTCTCTCTCTAATAAATCTCTCTCTCTCTCTCTGTCTCTCTCTCTGTCTCTCTCTCTCTCTCTCTGTCTCTCTGTCTCTCTCTCTTTCTGTCTCTCTGTCTCTCTCTCTCTCTCTCTCTCTCTCTCTCTCTCTCTGTCTCTCTGTCTCTCTCTGTCTCTCTCTATGTCTCTCTCTATGTCTCTCTCTATGTCTCTCTCTATGTCTCTCTCTCTCTCTATGTCTTTCTCTATGGGCCTCAGTGGCCGAAAGGCTAAGTTGTCGGCTTTCGAGTACGACTATATTATCCCATAACTCATCCCATTCCCCCATATAGACCTACCCCTATACCCCCGTCCTTTAAATTCCGATATATTGCCTAAACTTTAATTCAATATGAATTAKGATATCGTTTAACAGTTTTTCATCTGTTTATTGACGCAATTATTGTAGTTTTCAATTACGTATAGAATTATGATTTTGTAATTTTTGTTTTAATCAAATAAAAACATTATTATTATTATTTGGAAATTATTAACATTATTATAGTTAATTTTATAATTATTAAATTTAAAAAAATTAATGAAAATTAAGTTTTTCATTATTAAAATTTACTAATAAGTTTTAAGATAATATTAATAACTTATTAAAAAAATTTCAGGTTATGTTTATAAAAAAGTTTAATTAAATTTTAATTTACAACAACAAAATTATAATTTTTTTAAGTAATTGCGTCAATAAACAGATGGATACAAAATAAAATAATTTATATAAATATCCGATTTATATACTGTTAGAACTGATCATCAATTATTTATGTTATTTTTTTAAAAAACAAAATCACAATTAAAAAATCAAAATTTCTATTCATATCTTTAAAAAAATAAAATGAATCGCTTTATAGTATTGTTTGCAATGGCCGTCATTAGCGTTGCCATATGTAAGTAAAAAATAAATATATTTTTTAGCAAAAATAAGAATTATATTATAGTTTTATGTTTGTAATATTTTAATTATATGTATTTTATTTTTTTTAAAAAAATAGTATCAAGTAAAGTTAAAGCTTTCTATTCTCCTCAACAAATTGAGGAACTGGATGGCGATAATCGTGGATACACTGGATATAATGGATAAAAATCTAAAATAATAACTAAAAATTATGCATGCTAAACTATATTGTTTATTATTTTAAGTTATTTAATTATTAAATAAAATATTTTTTAAAAAATTAAGTTTGTTAAAATTATTATTGTTATTATGTAAAATAAAATTATATATCAAAATAAAATCATACAATTATTTTTGATATGAATTATTTTAATAAGATTATTCAAATATTACAAAATTTTTATTTTGAAATATATATTCAATATTTTCAACTATTAGTAAAAATTTATTGTATTATCTATGATAATTTATAGCCATCAATTTTAAACTACTGTACAATCAGTTAATAATTTATTTTTTAAATGTTTAAATAAAAAATTATCACAATATATTGTAAATTATATAAAATTTATATTAAATTATATTTGTTATAAATTTAGAAGACAATTTGTAATAGAAAAAGTTGTTATTATAATTTATATAATATTTAGTTTTATATTTTTAAATATATTGTTTTAGAAAATTGAAAAAATTAGGTTATTTAGGATTGTTAGTGATGTCTATTAGTGTTTTTTAATTTAATTGACCAATAACTTTGAATGCACAATCCTACAAAAAAAAATAATACAAAAATTTTTAACAAATTAATTATCTTCAACTAGTTACTTTGAATATTTTATATTTTTTTATATAAAAAAAATTCAATACTTACATAATATGGACTGGCAAATTTTCCAAATTGTTCCAAGCTGATTTTCTGTTTCAATTTAATTATCAATGGATCATTGTGACTTTTTAGTATTTTACATGTTGACATTGCCAATGAACATGTTGAATAGAGAAAACGTTTAACACTATCACCATCTAAACTATTGGCCAACCAATCGACTTTAGTATAGGCGCTCAGTTCAGCAGCTATTCTATCATTTTGTTCAACCATACAATCGGTAATTATTTTGTGATACTGTTTTAATAAGTAATAATTTTTTTGATTTTACTTATTTTTACTTATTTTTACTTATTTTTACTTATATTTACTAATAATTACTTATATTTACTTATTATTACTTATATTTACTTATTATTACTTATTATTACTTATTATTACTTATTATTACTTATTATTACTTATTATTACTTATTATTACTTATTATTACTTATTATTACTTATTATTACTTATTATTACTTATTATTACTTATTATTACTTATTATTACTTATTATTACTTATTATTACTTATTATTACTTATTATTACTTATTATTACTTATTATTACTTATTATTACTTATTATTACTTATTATTACTTATTTCTACTTATTTCTACTTATTTTCGCTTAATATAGTTATTATAGTACAAAATGTAAGTAAAAAATAATTAAATAAAAATAAGTAAAAATAATTTTTTACTCACTTGACTATAATATTGTTGTAATAAATCTGAACTTTGATTAGTTGTCTTATGCTTACAATCCCTAACTTTGCCGACAATATCAGTGTCGGTACGATTGGGAACACAAAACAATTTATCAAATTTCTCAACGTTTGCATACATACCGTGCAATTCATCATTATTTTCATAAATTATCGGATTTCTACTATCATTAGCTATGCTGTAGTTGTTAAGGATGGCAGTGATATTGTTGTTAGGGTTGTCTAGTTTTTTGATATTCATAACATTAAATGCACAGTCCTTTTAATTAAAAAAATATGACATAATTTAATCACAACTACTACTATTACTACTACACCATTAATAAAATAATATATAAATTATTTAATATGTTAATTTATCTTTTTTTTTTGCAAAAAATAAAAACATTAAATAATTTTTTATTTTTAAAAAAAACTTACATAATTAAATTTAGCCACTTTATGAAGTTCATCGTAACTGTATTGTTGTGAATATTGTCTAAGTAATTGATCATGTTGACTTTTCAGGATTCTACATTTTGACATTTTAGGCGAACATTGAGAATATAGATAACGTTTGACAATATTAACATCACTAGCATTTGTCAGATTAACTTTAGTATAATATTTTAGTTCAGTATTTAGATAATCTATTTCCTCAGCCATACAAATGTCAATTATTTTTTGAATCTATAATTTTTAAAAATTATTAAAAACAAAAAATTAAAAATACAATCTACTATTACTATTACTATTACTATTACTATTACTATTACTATTACTATTACTATTACTATTACTATTACTATTACTATTACTATTACTATTACTATTACTATTACTATTACTATTACTATTATTATTACTATTACTATTACTATTACTATTACTATTACTATTACTATTACTATTACTATTACTATTACTATTACTATTACTATTACTATTACTATTACTATTACTATTACTATTACTATTACTATTACTATTACTATTACTATTACTATTACTATTACTATTACTATTACTATTACTATTACTATTACTATTACTATTACTATTACTATTACTATTACTATTACTATTACTATTACTATTACTATTACTATTACTATTACTATTACTATTACTATTACTATTACTATTACTATTACTATTACTATTACTATTACTATTACTATTACTATTACTATTACTATTACTATTACTATTACTATTACTATTACTATTACTATTACTATTACTATTACTATTACTATTACTATTACTATTACTATTACTATTACTATTACTATTACTATTACTATTACTATTACTATTACTATTACTATTACTATTACTATTACTATTACTATTACTATTACTATTACTATTACTATTACTATTACTATTACTATTACTATTACTATTACTATTACTATTACTATTACTATTACTATAATTGCTTAACTACTTACTTGATTATAATTTTGTACGATTACTAATGTTGTAAAATTTTTTGATAATTGTTCGCAATCCCAAACTTTGCGTACAATATCACTATCTGTACGGTTTGGCTGACAAAACAATTTATTAAATTTATCAATATATCGGAAAACATTACTCATTTTATCATTATTTTCCAGTAATTTATTATTATTTTGTTGAATATTTTTATTATTCATCAAATTGTTTAGATTAGTCGTGTTGTTAGCGCTGATTGTTTGTCCATTGATATTGTTTTGGGCTGTAATTGACTGATAATTGTATGCAAATAATAGCATTGATAAACTAATTAATAAGCAGACGGCCATTTTGCTGATAATTTAATTATTTAATTAATTAATTAATTAGTTAACTGTTATTTAATAATTAGAAAATATATTATTATAACACAAAAAATAATAATAATTTTATTTTCACATAAAAATATTTATAGTAAAGTTTTAATTAATTTTAAAAAATATTAAATAAGTGGTTCAATAATGTAATTACTATATATATATATATATATTCAACAAAATTACAAACTACAAAATAAACTATCTATTATAATTATTAAAATAATAAATTAGTATAATATTAAGTTAAGACAAATATTTTTTTAAAAAAATTACTTTAATTTTATTATACTTAAATTAAAATTTTTATTTACTTATTTATTTATTAATTTTAGTAATACAATAACTATTTGTTTTCAAAATAATATATTTAATTCATTGTGATAAATTATTTATTTTTAGCTAAAATTATTAATAGCTGACTATTTTTTTATTATATAAATAATATATTAAAAGTTATATACACATATTTATATTATTGTTTATTAACTTATTTTTTATAAAGATTAATAGCAATAATAATGATAATTTAAAAAAATAATTAATGATATAATAAAATTTAAAAATAAATACAGTATAAGTTAAAGTTTATATTTATTGTTTAAATTTTATTATATCATTAATTATTATTTAAATTATCATTATTTTACTACCATTAAAGTTATTATAGTTAAAGCTTTTATAAAATTATAATAATAATATTTTATTACTTTAGTAAAATAATTGCTAATAAAATATATTTTTATAATTTATTATAAATATATTTTGATATTTTGACAAGTTCATTTTGAATTAGATATTGAAAATATTATAAATTTATTTTTAAAACACTAGTTTTTTTTAATATAAAAAAATGTTTATTTATAATAAACCAAAAATGTTTAAATTATTAATAAAATCTAAAATAAACAATTATTTTGTTAATAATTCAACAATCGATAGTTTTATCAATAGATTGGATAAAATTTGTACAAAAAATTATGTATTAATGGCTGAAAATTTTGATGACTATTGTCATCACAGACATCATCGACAACAACAACAACGGTATAGACTGTCCTCTCGTAGAGTAGTCATTGTTTTGCTGCTGAGACTGGCATTTATGCTAACTGTGCTCCGRTATGCCATATCATACTGTTAGACAATAACACTGTATACTACTATATGGCTAACAATTTGTATCTGTTGGGCAATTTGAAGATTATGTCCATATTGTTATGTATTACCGGTGCCATAGGTATCAGTGCTACCATTGTTAACGATTACTATGAATGGATGGGTCGGTTATATCCGATTGAATTGCTTAACAATAATATGCGCCAACAAAATATGGATAATAATAATAATAATAATAGACATCAATTATATGGTAGAAATGTACGTAAATTTGCTGTTAAAATGAATTTATTGTCGAAAATATTTCTAGAGTATACGGCACCGATAGTTATACTATTGATAACAATGTTACTAATAGTACCTACAGTACTGTCCATATTTCATACTAATACTACCGGTTCCTCAAAACAACAACAACGACAACAGTTTCCATTGATAGCTATCATACTATGGTCGACCCTATTATTAGTTGGCGGACACAATACAGTCTATATTGTATTTACAGATATATTACAAATATATTCAACAGTCAGTTACATGAAATACCAGTTAATACAAGTTAATACCCGATTAGTAGCCCAGAGTCTCAAATCAAACAGYATATACCTGTTTAGCCAAWCAATCGGCGATTATCGCCAGGTTGTCCATATGATTGCCAAATTGAATAGTGTYTACAGTCGTATAGTATTTATTAKCTATTTTATAATCCGATTTCAAGTCAATATAACCGTCTATGTTATMCAACATTCCCAACAGTTTAATAGTTGGCTGATTGGTATAGCCTRTTGTGAACTGGCCATTGCCATCATATCGCTAGTTACTATCAACTATGCATTGGCATCGGTTAACAAGTGTGCCCATTGGTCCCGACCATTGCTACACMGATATCTGGTTGTCCAGCAAATTGATGGCCGACACCGACAGTTATCATTGAAACACCGTTTATTGATTATGGAGTTTAATGAATGGCTTTCCGATACGGATATCGGTTTCTGGTGTCTGAATATGTTTGCCATTAATAACTATATACTCTATCAGTATTGTTGGCAAATAGTTTCATCATATCTATTGATAAGTGATTTGTTAAATACGTTTTAATGATTTTAATTATAAAGTTTATAATGTAATTAATAATTATTAATGTAGTATATAATTTTAAGTAGACAAATATTTATATTTTATTTTAGTATCAATAAATTTATTGATTTATAAAAAAAATTATTATTATTTATAAATTCATATAAATATGTAAAATAGTTCATAAAATAGTTCAATAATATACATAAATATTTTTATTAGTTATACTGTATATATATATATGTATATATACATTATATATATATATAGTATATATATTATATAGCATAAGTTATAAGATTTTTTAATAAGAATTTATAATAAATAAAAAACTAACTATTTAAAAAATTAAATGATTTAATATATTTAAGTTTAAATAAATTATTTGCTTTTAACTAAAAAAAATTTTTAATTTATTTATTAATAGCAAACTATTTTTATAATATAAATAATATGCTAATGATTTATTTTCTTAATAGTAGTATAATATTTATATTATTATTTAGTATTTTTTATAAAGCTTATTAATAATAATAATAATAAATTAACAATAAATTTAAGTTAAAGCTATTACAAATAAAAATAATAATTTTCATATTTTAATTATATCATATATCATATTTTTAGTAAAATAATTGCTAATACAATATATTATTATAATTTATTATAAATATACTTAATCAATATACTAATGGTATAATTTTTTATTTTAAAAATATACTGATACTAATACAATACATAAAACTAATATTTATTATAAATAATAAACTTATTTATAAATTATAAGTTCATTTAGAATTAGATATTAAAATATTTATTTGAATTTTTTAAATTTATTTTCTAAATACTAGTTTTTTTTCTTATAAAATAATGTTTGTTTATAATAAACTAAAAATGTTTAAATTATCAATAAAATCTAAAATAAACAATTATTTGGCTAATAATTCAACGATTAATAGTTTTGTCAATAGATTAGACAAAATTTCTACAAAAAATTATGTATTAATGGCTGAAAATTTTGATGATTATTGTCATCGACTACAACAACAATCACAACAACATCGGTATAGACTGTCCTCTCGTAGAGTAGTCATTGTTTTACTGCTGAGACTGGCATTTATGCTAACTGTGCTCCGGTATGCCATATCCATACTGTTTAATAATAACAATGTCTACTACTATATGGCTAATGGTTTATATTTATTGGGCAATTTCAAGATTATATCCATATTGTTATGTTTAACCGGTGCCATAGGTATATGTGTTACTTTGGTTAACGATTACTATGAATGGATGGGTCGGTTATATCCCATTGAATTGCTTAACAATATTATGCGACAGCAAATTAATAGTAGACATCAATTATATGGCAAAACTGTACGTAAATTTGCTGTAAAAATGAATTTATTGTCGAAAATATTTCTAGACTATATGGCACCGATAGTTATACTACTGATAACTATGTTGCTTATAGTACCTATAGTATTGTCAATATTTCATACAAATACTACCGGTCCATCAAAACAACAACAG